AGTCCTCTTCACTTTCAGCAAGCAAGGTTGTATCATCTGCATATCGCAGGTTGTTAATGAGTCTTCCTCCCATCCTGATACCACGTTTTTCTTCATATAACCAAGTTCTCGGATTATCTGCTCAGCGTACAGGTTGAATATGTATGGTGAAAGAATACTTTGTAAATACTTTGTAAATTTTATTATAATATTTGGTCTTTTCAGGCCGTCTTTTGAAATGTCTATTCAGTTCTTTTATTTCATTTCTTCCATTCACTTTAGTCACTGTACATTCAAGAACAAGTTTCAGAGAATCTTCTGACATCCACTTTGGTCTCCTCCCCACTCCCCCAACTTCATGTCTTTTTAATGATCTTTTGTTTTCTTCATGTATGATGTTCTTGATGTCATCCCACATCTTTGGTCTATGGTCATTAGTGTTCAATGAATCAAATCTGTTCTTGAGATGCTTCTCTAAATTCAGTTAGATATACTCAAGGTAGCATTTTGGCTCTCATGGACTTGGTTTTTCTTCAGCTTCAGCCTGAAGTTGCATATGAGAAATTGTTGGTTTGTTCCACAGTCAGCCCCTGGTCTTCTTCTGGCTGATGATAGTTAACTTCAACATTTTGATTCCTGTGTTTTCCATCTGGTGAGGTCATGTGTAGTCACCGTTTATGCTGTTGAAAAAAGGTATTTTCAATGAATAAGTCATTAATCTTGAAAAATTCTAGCATGTGATCTCTATCATTTCTATCACCAAGGCTGTATTTTCCAACTACAGATCCTTCCTCTTTGTTTCCAATTTTTGCATTCCAATCACCAGTAATAATTAATGCAGCTTGATTGTGTGTTTGAACAATTTCAGACTGAAGAAGTTGGAAGAATTCTTCAATTTCTTCATCATTGGCTTTGGTGGTTGGTGCATAAATTTGAATAGTTGTATTAACTAATCTTCCTTATAAGCATATAGATATTATTCTATAAAGATGGCATTGTATTTCAAGATCTTGAAATATTCTTTTTGATGACAAATGTGACACCATTCCTCTTGAATTTCTCATTCCTGACACAGTAAATCATGATTGTCAGATTCAAAATGGTTAATACCTGTCCATTCAGCTCATTAACACCTAAGATATCAATCTTTATGTGTGCCATTTAATGTTTGGTGACTTCCAATTCTCCTAGATTCATACTTACATTCCACATTCGATTATTAATGGATTTTGTTTCTGTTGCTTCTCATTTTGAGTTTGCTCCATCAGCAAATGAAGGTCCCGAGAGCTTTGCTCCATCCACGTCATTAAGGCTGACTGACTCTACTTTGAGGAGGCAATTCTTCTTCAGTCAACTCTTCCACAGTTGTATTTTAAGTGCCTTCCAACCTGAGTATCTTATCTTCAACATTATATCAGACAGTGTTCCACTGCTATTCATGAAGTTTTCAGGGGCTAATCCCTTGGAGTCCTGGTGTGGCACTCTACTATAAGCACTGGACTACTAACCACAAGGTCAGTAGTTCAAACCCACCAGCCACTCTTCGGACCCTACATAGGGTCGCTATGAGTCAGAACAGACTCGATGGCATGAGTTGGAACTCGACGGCACTAAACAACAACAATCCCTCAGAAGTGAACCATCTATTCCTTCTTTCTGTTCCTAGTTTGGAAGCTCCACTGAAACCTGTCCACCATGGGTGATGCTGTTTCATTGGTGATGAAACACCAGTGGCATAGCTTACAGTATCACAGAAACACGCAAATCACCATACTACAACAAACTGACACTTGCTTTAGTGTTGATACTAATCCTGGTGTGGTGCTGTCGGATAAGCACTGGACTGATACCCACAAGGTTGGTGGTTTAAATCCACCAGCTTCTTCTTGGAAACCCTATACAGGGTCAATAAGAGTCAAAACTGACTTTTTAGCACTTACCAACAACAAAAGCTCCAGATTATCAGCCAAAACAAGGCCAGGGGTAGACTGTGAAACAAACCATCAATTGCTCATCTGCAAAATTCAGGCTGAAGCTGAAGAAAATTTAAACAAGTCCACAAAAAACAAAATATGACCTTGAACATATCCCAACTGAAATTAGAGATCATCTCAACAATAGATTTTATACATTAGACACTAAAGACCGAAAACCAGAAGAGTTGTGGGATGACATCAAGAACATCATAGAGGGGAAAAAAGCAAAAGGTCACTAAGAAGATAAGAAAGAAAAGACCAAAAAGGATGTCAGAGAGACTCTGAAACTTGCTTTCCAGCATAGAGATGCTAAAGCAAACAGAAGAAATGAGGAGGTTAAAGAGCTGAATAGAAAATTTCAAAAGGCACTCCTTGAGAAGACAAAGCCAAATTTTTAACAAAATGTGCCAAGACCTGGAGTTAGAAAACCAAAAGGGAAGAACATGCTCAGCATTTCTAAAGCTGAGGGAATTGAAGGAAAAATTCAAGCCTCAATTTGCAATGTTGAAAGAGTTTATGGGCAAAATATTGAATGATGCAGAAAGCGTTAAACGAAGATGGAAGGAATACACAGAGTCACTGTACTGAAAAGAAATAGCCAATGCTCAACCATTTAAAGAGATAGTATATGATCAAGAGCCAATGGTACTGAAGGAAGTCCAAGGTACACTAAAGGCATTGGCAAAGAACTAGGGACTTGATGGAATACAAATTGAAATTTGCAACAAACTGATGCAGCACTAGAGATACTGACTCATCTATGCCAAGAAATTTGGAAGACCACTAACTGGTCAACTGACTGGAAGAGATCCATATTTGTGCCCATTCCAGAGAGGTGATGCAACAGAATGTGGAAATCATGGACAATGTCATTCATATTCCATGCAAGTAAAATTTTACTAAAGATAATACAAAAACAGCTGCAATGGTATATTAATAGAGAACTTCCAGAGGTTCAAACCAGATTCAGAAGAGGACATGGAACGAGGGATATTAATGCTGTTGTCAGATGGATATGGCTGAAAGCAGAGAATACCAGAAAGATGTTTACCTGTGCTTTATGGATTATGCAAAAGCTTTCAATTGTGTAGATCATGATAAGCTATGGACAACATTGTAGAGAATGCATATTCTGGAACACTAAATTGTGCTCATGAGGAACCTGTACACCGACCAAGAAGCAGTTGTTCAAACAGAGCAAGGGAACACTGAGTGGTTGAAAATTAGGAAAGGTATGTGAAAATTAGGAAAGGTTGTATCCTTTTATCATACTTACTCAACCTGTATGCTGAGCAAATTATCTGAGAAGCTGGTTTATATGAAGAAAAACGTGGCATCAATATCTGAGGAAGAAGACTCACTATGAACCTGCGATATACAGATGAAACAACCTTGCTTGTTGGAAAGGAAGAGGACTTAAAATGCTTACAGATGAAGATCAAAGACCATAGCCTTTGGTATGGGTTGCACCTCAATGTAAAGAAAACAAAAATCCTCACCACTGTAACAATAAAAAACATCCATATAAATGGAGAAAAGATTGAAGTTGTCAAAGACTTGGTTTTGCTTAACTCAAACCATCAACACTCATGGAAGCAGCAGTCAAAAAATCAAATGACATATTACATTAGGCAAACGTGCTACACAAGACCTCTTTAAAGTGTTGAAGAGCAAAGATGTTAGTTTGAGGAGTAAGGTGCACCTGGCCCAAGCCATGGTATTTTCAATAACTTCATATGCATGCAGAAGTTTGACAGTGACTAAGGAAAATAGTATAAGAACATTTGAGTTATAGTGCTGGAGGAGAATATTAAAAGTACCATGGGCTGTCAAAAGAACAAATAGATCTGTGTTGGAAGAAATATAGCCAAAATGCTCATTAGAAACCAGGATGGTCAGACTCTGTCTCTCATACTTCAGACATATATTATCAGGAGGGGCCAGTCTCTGGAGAAGGATATCACGTTTGGTGAAGTGAAGGGTCAGAGAAAGAGAGGAAGACCCCCAATGAGAAGGATAGGCACAGTGACATCAACAATGGACTCAAACGTAGCAATGATTGTGAGTATGGCACAGGACTGGACAGTGTTTTGTTGTGTTGTGCTGTGAGTGTAGGGTCGCTGTGAGTCAGTACTGACTCAATGGCATCTAACAACCATAACAATACTACTCTATAGATGTTGATTAAACTAAACTTTCTAACTTTTCTTTATCTGATACAATTTTTCTTTACCTAATACTTTTTTTCTTTTAATGTAAAGTTGTTACATTTAAGAACAAGTTTCAGAGTCTCTTTGGACATCCACTTCAGTTTGTTTGTTTTTGCCTTCCTGTATTTTTAATGACCTTTTACTTTCTTCATGTATGATGTTCTTGACATCATCCCACATCTTTGGCCTTTGGTTCAATGCATCAAATCTGTTCTTGAGATGGTCTCTAAATTTGGGTGGGATATACTCAAGGCAGCATAGACTTAGATATGACTTCCCTAAGGAAAATATGAGTGCTTTGATTCAGAGATCATATCTTCTACGTTATACCTGTAGTAACACAGAGCTGAGCATATGACAGACACACTCTACCAATGAACAGATTCTGGTTTCAGGGTCTAGGTGATCTGAGCCTCCTGGGAGGCACTCACAGGTATGAAAAGGTGTTCGGTCAGGCAGGGAGCGGGTTTTCCTCCGGATAGGCAGTGACTTTTCCATTTCTTCTTTCAAGATCATCTTTCCCAAGTTGGAAGTAACCTGGGGAGGGAGAAAGGAAGATAGATCCAAGACTTAAATGCTGGTTTTTCATCTTCAAATGTTCAGAGTTGGGGATACTGTAAGCAGGACACAGGACTTTGCAAGCCCATCTACTAGGGACAACATTTTCTCATGTCCAGAGCCTATGCAATCTCTCTTTTTTGTCTGATGCACTACCACATTAGGCTTAGACACTCCTGGGGCAAGAAGTCAGAGCTGCTCAGTGTAACTGCCCCAGTGGCCTCCTCTCCCAGGCTATGATTGCCAGAGGAGAGTCAATGATGTCACTGTAAATGGCCTTTACATGACTCAGCACTCTCTCCCCTCCCTTCCAGATCAGTAAGCCAAACGCTTTTTCCTTCTTCCTCTCCTTTCCTCTTCTTCTTCCTCTTGCTTAAGCTCTTAGCCCCAGCTTGCTGAAACCTGGCACTTGTAGTACCACCCTTTTCTGTGCTTTTGACCCTCATATCAAATAGCCTTTCCTGGGAAAAGCAGCATAAAGTCCAAGTGTCCCTTGGAAAGCAGCACCCTAAAATTCTAGGAAAGAAGGGGGACTTCTCACATGTTTTAACAAGGAAACTTTTCTGGCATAAACCTATTTGAATTAGCTATGGGATCAGAATTTTTGTCTTTATTTGACAAAGGTTGGGTGACAGGTAGCAAGATGCTACCTTACTGAGTTCCTCTTTCTGACGCTCCCTAAGAGCCTTCATCTCCTCTCCAGAGTCATCATCTTCCTCCTCCTCCTCTTCCTCTGCCCCTTTCCGAGATGCCTTCCGCTTCCTCCATTCTGTCTCTAAGAAACACAGGTAAAAGTAGGCAACAATCAATCAGTCATTCAACAAGTATTTATCAGGTGCTGACTTTGTACACAGAACTGGGCTAGACTTACAGAGGACACTATGATGTTGTTGTTGTTAAGTGCTGTGGTGTTGGTTCTGACTCATAGTGACCCTGAATAGAATTTCTGAGACTTTAAATCTTGGAGAATATAAAAATGGAGACTATATTATAGGTTATTTAAAAAGAGAGAGAGAGAGAGTAGTATTTCTTAGCTTTGTAGTGAAACTGAATAAGCAACAACACACACCTATGACTTAAATCCACTGGGAACAAAAACCTTGTTTCATTTATCTTTCTCTTTCCCAGAGTTCCCATCACAGAGTCTGATACATATTAGAAATTTGATAAATGTCTTCTGAGTGATTGAATTAATGGGAAGTAAATGAATGCCTAACAGATAGGCCATCCACACCTATAGGGTCTCTAGGAATGCAGGGAGGGAGAGCGGTAGAAGCTCCCTGAGCAAGGAACCTGGAAGATTTCATGAAAGCATTAGAGGGTGGAGGTGGGTTCATGGGGGTTTCAAGGGGGAAGTCAGTGGCTCTCTTTCTCCCACATCCCCACAGAGTCTCTTACCCACAACGGCCAGTGATGGGGGGCATGGCCAGTAGTCAGTTTCAATCTTGGCTGGCTGGTTGGGGTCAGGAGGCTGGGCTGCAGGGAACTTGGATGACTCGATGATGAGGTCCTCAATGAGGTGCTTGCTCTGAGGGCTACCTCCTACAGACTCTGCAAATGGAGGAGAGTCAGCCTATACACATCCCATCCCTGAGGCCTACTCTTCTTCCATGCTCAGTCCTAACTCACTCCCTTCTCCCTTCACAACCATGAGAAAGTGCTTGTAAAAAGCATGCACAAAGGAACAGCAGCAACTACTCTGTATTGTTATCAATAGCTACTTCCCCATCAGCTGGGCAGCACTCACAGCCACAAGCCTTCCAGCATGTGGTGGGAAGGGGGCTCTGATAAGTTAAGGAAACCCTCACCTCTTTGCTTGTAAATGGGTGGCTTCTTGTAGATGTTGGAGTCCGGGCGGGAGGTCTCTGTGGAGAGGGAGCAAGAGGGTATGAGAATGAAGAAAAGTGGGTGGCTGAAGAGAAAAGAGACAAAAGGAATGGGTTGTTGTTATTGTTAAATGCCATGGTGTCAGTTCCAACTCATTGGATGGTGGGTTTGAAAAGGTAGAAAATTCACTGGTTTCTGCAAAGAGCCAAGACAGAACTAGAGTTCCCTCAGCGGGCTGGGTCTTTCTGCACTTTTCTGACTTGTAGGAGGGAAAAGGCAACAGGGGTCTTGGAATCAGGGAGCCCAACCAGTCTGCAGTAAGCACAACCTCAAGAGAGTGGGGGAATAAAAGTAAGGAGCTTAGGGCTCCTGAAGGAAAAAGCAACACCACGGAAAATATGTGTCCAGGCTGACAGTCAAACCTACCAGGGTGGTGGAAATGGGGCAAGCTGGTCCGGGGGGTTCCAGTGGTTCTAAGGACTGAAGTCTGAGAGATGATTCCAGGGGATCGGCTGTCTGCCCACACCTGCAGAGCAGAAGTGTGGTTCATTGCAGCTCCCATGTCCCAAACTACATACCAACCATTTCATCTTACTCAAATCTCTGTCCACCCTCCTTAGCGTTCTGCTTCCTCCAACCCCAGAGCAGTAGAAGGCTATCCAAAGACTTGACCTGCTGATGGTGCCAGGCCCAGGTAGAAGGGATTACATGAGGCTTTCAGTCAGACAGATACAGAGCTGGCCAGTGGACAGAGGAGGTCCAACAACACTTTGGCCCAGAAAAGTCCTCACTTTGCAGATTCTGTCATATCCCCTAGGCTCTGCAGAGCTGTCTGGACTTGTGGGGACTGGAGTTGGGGCCCCATAAGAGCAGGGCTGGGCAAGTGTCAGGTGTGGGGCAGACTCACCTCTGGGGATGGTGGGGGGGATGTGGATTTGGGTGACAGAGAGCGCTGTGAATGGAGAGGAGGCTGGTCAGACCACAGGGTAGGATTAAACTCTCATCCCTCAGCCAATTCTACACCCTTTTCTGAACCACCTCTTCTCTCCCAGATCCTTGCCAAGCCCTAGTGCTGGGTTTCCAATCTTCTTCTTAATATTTCCTGGACAAAGTTCTAAGCCTTTCTTCCTATAAAGCATGAAGAAGAACATGGATCTTGGAGCAGTTTGCTTGATGCTTTGAGGGCCTACTGAAGAGAAGCAATTGCCCTGTCCTCAGGCCCTAAGGTCTAAGGGAAGGGCCAATACCAACAAACACCCAAGAATGAAGTACAGACTTCTTGACAAGTTTAAGTCTCCCATTGTCTGGTTCCATCTCCCTTCCCCAGCCATAATACTAACCCTTTTCTTGACTAAGTTTACTAACTACCTGAATGTGTATTATATCATACACTCTGACTACTCTGTGAGGTGAAAAGGCAGAGGGATCACCTTTATTTTACAAGAGGGTTCATTGAGAACACAGGGTTATTCAGCTAGGACTTCTAGTCAACAAATTCAATTTGTCCCAGATCTCCGTAGATTTTCTTCTCTGTCATACTCCCATCCTTCCTTACATGCCACACCCTTTATGCTTCTGCCACCAGTTTCTCCTGCTCTCTGGCTTCAGGTTTTTACTCTGACATGGAGCCCATCGCTGCCCAAGTTCAATGAACACTGCCCAAGTTCAAAATCAACACATGGTTGATTCCTACGCATAGTTCCCTTTCTTGTTTTGCTGAATCTGGTCTCCAGAAAATTAAGTGTGAGAAGGATTCTGTCCACTAACCAGTATGGCTGCTGGAGTCCTTTCCCCAAGTCCTCTCCAAGGGAAAACTTGTATTCTTACCTCCCGGCTTCTGGGCAGTTCCACGTGTTCCAGGAGGGAATAGGTAAAGTGAGGCTCATAGATCATGAGGTCAGGCCGCTCGATGTCCAGGATGGCCTTGTCCTTGGGGATGGCAGCCAGGTCCTTGTAGCCCAACACCTGATTGTCCATCTTGGCCTGAAGGAAAGTGGTACTAATGGAACAGACGTTCCATAAAGCCTCACTAGAATCCTGGCCTTCCAAGCTAGATTTAGAATTTACTTTTAAAGTAGGCAGCTATTTTAGGTGTCAACTCTTATTTATAAGTTAGTAACTCTGTTATTTTAACATTTAAGAATTTAAATTGTCACCTAGCAATCTGGATAACAGAAAAACCATACCAGTAGGAGCATGTGGTGGATTTTCTCTGGATTTTTGGGTTCTCTTCCCCTCCAGCACGGGTAAGATCATCAGCTCAAAGTGAAGCTGCCCAGTGGTCATCTGTCTTCTGCCCACCCCCGCCCCCTAGACTGAGGATACTGGTGTCAGAGAGGGGTACTCACCACGATGCTGGAGGGCGAGCCGGGAACACTGGAGCCTCGGGAGGAGCTCACGCTCCCTGGGGAGGTAAGTGGTTGCTGGGAAGAGTGAGAAGGCGGGCAGGTGGGTATGAGTGTGGGTGTGAGGGCAGAGGCTCTTCTGGAGCCAGAGGATGTGAGCTGCAGCTGGGGGCAGGGAAGTCTTCCCTCGGCCTCTGGGGATCCAGGGTGCTGCACTGTAGGCAACCACCAGGTGGCACCCTAGACTCCCGACCTGAAGTTTCCGTGGGGATGCAAACTCTCTCACCCTCTGCCCCAGGCACCCCACCTGTCCCCGCACACCTTCTGCAGTCGTTCCATGCAGCAGGGAGCTCGCTGGTCGGATCACTCGCAGAGCCCTGTGCGGAAGGGAGAGGACAAGGGCTCAGGCTCTGCCCCCTCTTGGACGCTGGGCTCCGCTCGGGGCCGCGAAAGCTGAAAGGGCGTACCCCCAAGCTGTAGCGTCCTCATCCCTCGGGGATTCTCCAGGCTGTAGACGGAGTAGAGGGGCTGGAAGGAGAAGAGGAGGCGAAAGTGCCCGAGAGGGCTGTTAAGCTCCAGGTCTCCGGGGGTGGGGGTGGGATTGGGCGGGGCTGCAGCAGTCCCCTTGCTAGGGGAGACTGGAGGAAGGGAGTTCGGACCTTCCTCCGTTCAGGCTTTCCGTTCGCTCAGCCCGGGAGAAAGTGTGTGTGTGGACCGGGAGGCGGGAAAGCCGAGGGGCTGCATTTGTTTTTGAGCCATTGTTCTCTAGGTCGGAAAGGAAATGACAGCAGGAGACAGAGGCTTCCCGGGCAGCCTCCACATGCCCTGCCGGGTCACACCTGCCTCGTCCTGGTGGCTGGAACCCTGTTTTACGCACAAAGTTTCACTCTCCCTCGCCTCTGCCAAGACCTCTCTCTCTGACTCTGTGTGGGGCCACTCCCCCTCAATCTACTGTCCATTGGCCACCTCTCCCAGATACTCGCCCAACAAGGTTTACCACAGAGAGACTGAGTAATAATACCTGGGGGTAGGGGTGGGGTGAGGATGGAGTGTGAGGTGGAGAAAGGAGGAAGGGAGCGAAAGATTGAACCCCAAAGCAGCAGCAGCCTTGGTGTGAGCGGTCAGATTCTGCTGACAGCCGCCTGGGCTCTAGGTTCTACCCTACATAGTTAGGAAAGGAGAGGAGACCCACAAAGCGATCTCACATCTCCCTCATCTCTGTTCCTTCTACAGCAGTCATTCTCAGTGGGGGCATTTGACAAAACATTCTTTGGGGTCTCAACCACACCCCAGGTCCTCATTAAGTCTCCTCAGAATAGCCATGCTGACATCCCTCTCTGAAGTCAAAGCCACCAGATCCTGAGTGAAGTCATCCTGCCTGGGGCTGCTCTTTTTGTTCCTAGGGAGTTGGGTCTTTCCTGCTGCATAAGATCGTGAGTTCCCTGGGGCACAGTCCTTGTCATTTTTTTCTTCTATAACTCTCTTAGCAATCCCCCCATACACACACACATATACTCCACACTGGACACATAATAATCATTCAGTGAATTCCTGGCTGATTGTTGAGTGTGATGGTGATAAGGGGGCAATAAGCCATAGAGAAGAGAGCTGACTGACAGCTACACAAGCGACAGGGAGGAAGAAGGCAGCAGAACTGAAGTTGTGAAGAGCATGAACTCAAACCAGAGTGCCTTGGTGTGAGTCTACACATAAGCTGTGTGATCTTGAGCAAGTTACTGACCTTCTCTGTGCTCGTGTTTTGCATCTGTAAAATGGGAGTGGGGTTGGTAATATCTGTGTCATAGGGTTGTTCTGAGTATTATACATTGTTGTTGTTAAGTGCCATCAAGTTGGTTCCAACTCATAGCAACCCTGTATAGGATTTCTGAAGAGTGGTTAGTGGATTGAACCATCACCTTGCAGTTAGCAGTCCAATGCTTATCCTACAGAGCCACACCAGGACTCCCAAGTATTATACAAGGGACTTCAAAAAGTTTATTGGAAAAAAAAAATCCACTATCTTTTGGTTCCATTTTTCCATGAACAATTGGAAACTCCTCATATGCTGTTATAGCAAAGTATTTAAAAAACACTGAATTGTTAGCAGGATTAATTGTGATTGTCATAATTATAATTGTAGAAGACATGTAACTAAATTGGGGGAGTAGTTAATCTTTCATTTCAGGAACAGAGAGTCCCAGGACCATCAAGAAGGAAGAGCATGAGTGGAATGTGAGATTCTATCTAGAAAACAGGTGACAACAGAGATGGTGGCAGAGGCAATGGCATGGAGAGATAGAGCAGCTGCAGGCTCCAGGCCCATGGACTGAGAAGGCTATATGGCTGCAGGCAGGAGGCTGGCTTGTAGAATTTGCCCTCAGGCCATTTAAATGAATATATATTTTTTATTTTGTATGTGTACATCAAATATTTTTGTTTGTTCCTTTGTGAAATATAAGCTGTAAAAGGGAAGCCACAGGGAGGAAGTAGAATTACTGTTGTTGGGGGTGGGGGGAACTATAATCATTGAGATGAAACAAAGCATATAATTTATGGAATGTAAAGCTGATGATCCTGTCTGCTAACTTTAAGGTTCAAACCAACCTTGTAGTCCAGTGCACTAATCCACAATGCCACACCAGGACTCTGTAAAGTGTCAGCTGTTTTTATTTGTAACTTCCCAAGGACCAATGGGTTAAGAGGGCTTTTCTGTAGGCATTCCTTGCTACATAGGGTCATAAGAGACCGAAGTCATTGGTGTCCCGAATCTTATCACCTACCACTTTGCATCAGGCCATTCTTCTGCCCTCTGTCTCTCCACCACTGCCTGCTGAACCCACCCACTCCCTGAGCAAGCAGCCCTCACTCCCACTGTCCTGCTTTTGCATGTGTTGTTCACTATACTTTGTCTACCTCTCTGCCTCCCAGAGCCCACCTATCCTTCAAAGGTCCATCTTAAACTACTCCTTCCTCTGAGAGGCCTCCCCTGTTATTCTAGTTGTGGTGCATCGAATCGCCTTTCTTGCCATAGTCTTGTAACTCCCACAATATGATTAGGTTGTTGGTGTTGTTAAGTGCCATTGAGTTAGTTCTGACTCAGAGTGACCCTCTCTATAGGTTTCCAAGAATAGGCTAGTTGGGTTTGAACTGCCAACCTGCTGTTAACAGTCCAGTGCTTATCATACAGTGCCACACCAGGACTCCAAATGATTGGGCAAGACTATGCAAACAAGGTGCTTGTGGCCTACCAAGAGAATTAGACAGTTTGCTAATAATGCAAATAAAGTGCCTGGCGCCCTTGTTGGGGTGGGACCACACAAATAAGGTGCATCAAACACTGAGGGGATTGGTCAGGGCAGTTTTGTCATCCTGCTAGGCTTAAAATGAGCCATCCTAGAGGCAGAAGATGGGGGGGAGCGGATTTCTACCATCAAAAAAGAAGAGCTGGGAGCAGAGCTCATTTCTTTGGCGCAGGGATCCCTGTACCGAGAACATCTTAGACCCAGGAGACAGAAAGTTGTAACACTGGAGATGGCACAAGACAGGGAGAAGCAGCAGCAAACATGACAGAGAATCAGCAGCAATAGGTGATGTGGTGGGCTTCCCGGACCATGGCGTGAGAACTGTGTGCCCTTGGACTGAGGCATACCGTCAGAGTAGGGTGTCTCTGGGCACTTACAGGTGGAGCTACTGAGCTTTGTTAACACTTTCCAGAGCAGGGAAGAAGAGACCAAGCAAGTCCAAGAGACCTAAGAGGTCCGAGGAGCCAAAGGCCTAGAGGTTGGGGGTCAAGTCCAAGAGCTGAGGGCCAGGGCATGACCAAGAGGTTGTCCAGACCAAAGAATTCTAGCCTAAGTCATTCTGGATCCTGAATTTAACCTGTTACTTCCCTAATACTACCCATAACCATGAGTATTCTGTGAATATGTGTGTGGCCATTGCAATGAATTACTGAACCCAACAGAGAAATAGGGTCCTATTGGAGGGACAGCCAGTGTCAGAATTGGTTAAAAGCTTGGAAAGAAAAGGTATATCTTACCTCTACTTCACAGAATCAGCTTTGGGCAGATGCTGATGGCGATTCTCCCTCCCTCTGATGAAGTCAGAGGAGGTCAAACTTACCATGCCATTTTTATACTAGTCCTCACTGCTAAATCATTCTTCAAATTCCATTGGGACTTAAAAAGAGAATCATGTAGCTTAACATTTGATTTTCCTAACTAGACTGACTGCTAACTTCAGGAGAATCACAACAAAAAATAACTTTTTTTTTTTTTTTTTGAATGCTCATTTGATGCCAGTTACTTTGATGAGTAATGTCCAAGGATTAGTTTGTCTCATCTCCACAATAAGATAGATTCCAGTTTTGGGTATGGGGAAGCTGAGACTCAGGGAAATAAAATAACTTGTGCAGAATCATGGAGCTGAAAATGACTGTGTCTTCAGTTTTGGCATGATTCATCATACCTATCTAGTACTGTGTCAGGGGCATAGTAGGGACAGCCTAGAATATTCCAGGTTTCTCAAGTCTATAGCATCTCCAAGACCAGAATCGGACCATCAGAGTCATACTTGGTGTTTGGTGCCAAGGAAAGACCTCATTCCATACCTTCATCCTTCTCCTACCCTTTTTTCTTAAATTTTTATCGTGAATTGAGTGACAGTTTACAGGGGAGAACATCAGTTTTACATTCATCTTAACATATTCTGTTTTATTGCAATGATTATAATCCTCTCCGTGCATGATCACACAGGAATATATAAGCATTTAAACAACCAAAGGGCACATTCTGCAAGCCTGCCTCCTGGCCAGCTGCACACAGCCTTTCTCTTTCCATTCTTCTACTCTTTTAGCACTTACTTTGTAGCACTTTTAACCAGGTAAGTGAGGACCAGGACAAATTCTAGTACTTATGTGAATAGATGTTAGTTCCTTTTTACTACTCTAGAAGCAAATACTTATCCATCCATTGGCCCACTCACCCACCCATCATGCACTGTTTTATCCATCCATTCAACAAATATTTTCTGAGTACCTATTGTGCAATAAACACAGAGCGATGCTCCATGTTTGACCCTATGGAGAACAAAAAGATCAGTCAATGGAGCTAAGCTACCTCTCTAAAAATAAGGCACATGCATATAGATAGCTCAAATGCAAATGAGAAAATTACATGTGCCAGATAAGATACTATAAGGGGCTGTGAGAGGTCACAGGAGGCAAGGACTATTCCCATGGGTTATCAGAAGGGGAAATGAAAAAGGTTTCTTGGAAGAGGAGTTACTTGAAATAGGCTTCGAAGAAAGTTATGTAAAAATTTAAAAAGAAATTTCTGAAG